GGCATGGATGTCCCCACCGAGTCTGGGGAGCTCTGGATCCTGGGGGATGTCTTCATCCGTGAGTACTACGTGATCTTCAACAGGGGCAAGAACATGGTGGGCTTGTCGCGGCTGGCCTGAAGGACAAGGCGGTGCTGCCCCACTGCCCCCCAGTGCTGCCCCACCGGCAGCTCCTACCACGGCCACCAATAAAGCTGTATAGAAGCACCCTTGGGTTGTGTCTCTTGGTGTTCAGATGCCACCATGTCCCTGGGCATGGACAGCAGTGGGTGGGCAGGTTGGTGCCACCTTCACCCCCTGATGATGCCCTCAGCCATGCAAACACCCTGGTGGCAGCTCCCAAACCACCCCCCCAGCCTCAGCCTCATTCCCTTAGGATCAACCTGCAGAGGTCCTGGCTGGCCACAGTGAAAACCCCACTGGGACATGGCACATCCACCCCCAGAGCCAAGTGGGGGGGGCTGGACACCCCAGCACCATCCTGGGGGGTGCACACCCCAAATCCCCCCTCCAAGGACACCTGTAGCAGCACCGTAGTTGGTACAAGCAGGAGTAAGGGGACAGGGCATAAATATCAGGGTGACTTTATTGGTGGCAGGGAGGGCAGGGCCCCCCATCCCCAGGCCAAGAGCTGGGGGTGCACCCCGGGGGTGCACGAGGCACTTGGGGGGCTGGTTTGGGGCTGGGGGTCCCCAGGGATGCTCCAGGGCTTCCCTGCACCATCCTGCTGGGGGGAACCAGGGATGCTCCAGGGCTTCCCTGCACCATCCTGCTGGGGGGGACCAGGGATGCTCCAGGGCTTCCTTGCACCATCCTGCTGGGGGGGGCAAGGGGCCTGAGAGAGAAGCAGTGCCCATGCACCCATGGGAGATGGGATGCACCCATGGGAGCTGCGATGCCCCCATGGAGATGGGATGCATCTGTGGGATCCAGGATATACCCATGGGAGATGGGATGCACCCATGGGACCTGGGATGCATCTATGGGAGTCACAGTGTACCCATGGATCTGGGATGTACCCATGGGATCCGGGATGCACCCAAGGAGCTGAGGTGCACCCATGGGAGCTGGGATGCTATTGCCCACCCTATCTGCTTGGCACCCTGTCCCCAGACACCCATCACCCCAGGGGCCTGGTGGGCCAGCCCTGCTGGGCATGAAGAACC